AGGATTGATTTCAAGGATAAGATTACGTTACATTCCCTTTTGTCCCAGTCTTTTTCTGGCTCATAGTAGCTAATTTGTTCAAAGGAAAATAAAGAAACGGATTTCTGTTAAAACACAAAGTTCTCACTCCAAAACAAAAACCTCTGACAGAAGGACCAGGTACAACATAACCTTTCTTCCTATTATTTAATCTCTTAGTGTTAGGTCCCTCTAACAGTTCATATCCAACATTCTTCAAAGGAAGTCTTTTTTGTCTTTTGCTGATACATGCTCCCTACTTTTACTTCATAAAGCAAGAACTATGTTCACCTACTTGTGGAAATCAATTTCAAGCAATGCCTTAAAGCATAAGGTGAGGGATTCCTATTACGATCCAAGTTGACAAAGAATAATGTAAACTGGGTAAAAACATCTACAAAATAATGATTCCTGATTATTTTCTGCCACTTTAAGTATTAACACCCAAACCTTAAATAAAGGAGACTTTTGTGTAGACATGGACTTGTTTTCTCAAGATCCTGAAACCACTTCTTATGCAGCAATACTTCCTCTAGGTTATTTTCTTATTTGCACATGCCAAGGAATCAGACAAGATTCTCTGTTGGAGCTGGAACTCATCCAAAGGCTCTGGTCTCACAAGAAAGGAGATGAAGGCTGCTCCCTTAGCCAGAAGAGGTCACTAGAGAACACCAGGAATTCACTTTCCTTAGCACAGAAATTGAGTTCAAGGCACTATTTACAAATGGCTCATAAAAATATAGAAATCACAGGATAACAGACATTCAAAAATGTGCTGATTAGACTGCTATGATCAACAAACAAAATCCCCATCAGGGAAATGACACTGTACAAATAACAAAAAATAGGCTAAACATAGAAACTGCAAAGAATCAATCTTGGGAGGTGTTCTCTCATGGATTATGGAAGGGGGGGGAATAAAGAATCTAAAACACTTAATTCATGATAGCAATCATGAATCACTAGCCTGGTACCTCTTCCAATATCTGTAAGTACCACATATAGGGTACTTGTAAACTTGTAAACAGGCTATGTTTCAAAGTTCATTTTAAGCCAGATATTTGGAAATCAAAATGGTTTTCTTGTTGAAATGTTTTATGTGGTTAGGTTTCCAGATTTTCCTACAAAAGCCTAGCAAATGCAACTGCAATAGAAGATGACTAAACTTGTACGGAGTTGAAAGTCATTGATTTGAATTTTGCCTGCAACGCTTGTAACCATGAGCAAGTTTATTTCCCCTCTCTGCAACTCATTTTTCAGACCTATAAAATGAGGATGATATTTGCACCACCTAATCTTGTACCTCATTTTTTACTAAAAACTATATTTCCCAGGTTGACTACCCATTTAAGACTTAACTCTAACTTACTTCTAGTTGTTTCCAAAAACCAAAATGATTTTCAAATGACAGTTACACTCTAAGTGATTTTTAAAGATGGTACTTGTTGGCTCTGAAGTTAATTACACAAGTGGAAATTTTCAAGACCTTTGAGCAATAACAGCATCACTGGAATAAGTGTACAGACTCCAAAATAGCTACCCTGAAATGGCTCAAAACTCACTTGGATGTATAAGGCTTGGCCAAAGGGTTTTGTTTTTAAAAAGTCACATTATAGTCCCATCTTACATGTAAAAGAATTTTAACTGACACGGGCAGCTAGGTGGTGCAATGGATAGAGCACCGGCCCTGAAATCAGGAGGACCTAAGTTCAAAACCAGCCTCAGACCAAACACTTGACACTTACTAGCTGTGTGGCCCTGGACAAGTCACTTAACCCCAACTGCCTTAAAAAAAAAAGAATTTTAACTGGCTTTTGCCAGTTTTAGAAATACAATAAAATACTTACATAACTAATCATAACCCAGTAAACATCACCTACTGAAGTAATTAAGTATTTATGTTCAGGGGAACAAAAAAAAAATTATTTCAAACAGTATCACTCTCATCACTCATCCCAAACATTTACCTAAGTGTTTCTTTCAAGTAAGGTTAAAAATCAATGGAAAGAAAATTTTGAACAGGGAATTGAGAAACTGAGATGCAAAGGAGCCAAAGTGCTGAAGAGCACAACAATAGCACTGGGGAAGGACCATGTGTACAAGGTCAGTCCAACATTTATCCATGAAGCTAGTCACAAAACAGTACAGATTTGCTGGGGAACAAAGGGCACAGACAAATGGCATTGCAATATATATTCACTATAACTAGCAGACTGTGCCTACACTGTATATATTCCACGATTTTAAACTGGGTATTGAATGCAACAAACTAAGCACTTAATGTAATTCCAGAAAGGGGGTGGGGGGAGTCGTCCTCTTTTTTTTTTTTTTTAGAGCTGAGATTTTTTTTTTTTTAACCAAGCCCTTTGAGTTTGGTGTATTTTTTTTTTTTTAAGGATAGGCAATGGGGTTAAGTGACTTGCCCAGGGTCACAAAGCTAGTAAGGGTTATGTGTCTGAGGCCAGACTTGAACTCAGGTCCTCTTGAATCCAGGGCTGGTGCTCTATCCACTGCACCACCTAGCTGCCCCCGGAAGGGGGGGGGCGGGGGCGGGGCGGGGCGGAGTCTTCTCTAGCAATACCTTTGCTCTATTATCCTGAGGGTTCTAATAGCTGTTCAATAAATCTGGGTGATCAAAGGAAAATGCAGACTAAAACAGGCTCTTAGCCTTTCCAAAACTCTTCATAAGGCCCAGAAACAATCCCTTTACCACAGGTCCTCAGACTGCTGATTCTTCTAAGCCATTCTACATCCACCTTGGCCAGTACAACAAAAGCAGCAACTTCTACCTACCATTTGAACGCAATGAGCAGAAAAATGGTATAATAGAGAGACTTAGAATCACTGAACATGTTCAAATTCTGGCTGTAACACTAACTTTATGACCATGGGCCAATCGCTTCACTGGCTTTGGGCTCAGTCTTCTCATCTGTAAAATGGGCATAAAAAATTTATACTAAGGTGCTGAGTTTATATTATTATTATTTTTTTTTGCTTAGGCAGTTGGGATTAAGTGACTTGCCCAGAGTCACACAGCTAGTAAGTGTCAAGTGTTTGGTCTGAGGCCGCATTTGAACTCAGGTCCTCCTGACTTCAGGGCTGGTGCTCTATCCGCTGCGCCACCTAGCTGCTCCTATTATTATTATTATTAAAGAGGTTAAGTTATTGCGCTTATTGCTTTCCACATCATGAAACATTTCTTCTTTGCCTTCTAGGGTCCAAATTTTTAGATGTAAATGAACTCCTGATAGACATCCAAAAAAGCGTTTATTCCTTTTTTCAAATCAGCACACATAACAACATAGCAGGAATAGACAACAAAACTCTACAGGTATCTTGAATAACAACCTTGAATAAAAAAATCAAATCCAAATTCCAGCTCTCAGAATCACTTAGAAGACATTCTCAAAAAGCACAGGTAGATGCTACACGGACCGCTCCTACACGGCTCCAGCATCTACCTTCTAGCTCTCAAAGGCAAGGCTCAACAAATCCCAAGTGTTAGGTCACCATGCTGCCTAACAATTTCATCATGATTTCTATTTTCATCAGTATGATGATTGCAAAAAAATGCAATTAATTTTTCCTGGTCATACACATAAATTTTACTATACTGATGAACTGAAAACATTTATAGCATTAAGGATTCATTTGAGGACCCCTCATTCATCTCAGCTTCAGTCATCACAAAAGTGGGATCACTGGCTATTAGGGTTTCTGATTATCCCAAATATAACCCAGAAAGTAGTTAGTCATATTTACTCAGCTCCCTCCTTTTTGAGGCCTTCCAAGAAATACTGTTCAAAACCATTTAAAGAATCTCAATGACTCTAAGTTGGATCTTGATCTAAGAGTAGAACAGGTAAAGAGGTGCTAACTTCTTTATTCCTTCTGGTTTTTTTCCTTCTTTGAAAGATAACACCTACAACCAAATAAAATTTATTGAGCTTTGTTATAAGGAGAAATAAACAGAATTATGCCCAGATAGGCATCAACTATTGCATTACCTTCCTCACTATAGAGTAACTAGAAATATCTGCCCTCTCACCTTCATTACTCCATTATTCCCCTGCTTTGCATTTCTCCTTCCCCCAACTTCAGAAGGAAAGGGAGGAAAAATTGCACCAAACAACTGAGGTAGAACAGAAAGGGGCAGTAACTGGGGAAGGCAAAAAAGTTCCATATTTAGCTAGGAGAGTGGGCTTCATATGAGAAGATACATCAAGATGAAAATATTTTCCATTTCTCAGCAAAGTGTATTTCTATTTTTTTCAATATAATGCTACTGCCACTTCACATTTTTCTAAGAGGCGACCAGAGAGCTCATACACAGAAGGCCTCAAAAAGCAAATGTAAAAAGAACTGAGAATATGGGGAAGATATAATTTTTGGAGCTATACAATCAAGACCTTCAAAATCAACCAGTCTTAGTACAATTTCTATATTTAAACTCTAAATTTTAGTGTTGAGTCACAAGTTCTCCCATTATACTATTCAGTATGAAAGGTTAAGAGGTAAATATATTAAAGCAGATTAAAGCTTTTAGAATGTCTACACGTGTTTCATATATAACCTGAAACTCAAGACTTAGTTCTATATCAGAATATTCTATTATACCAGACACTACAGGATATCCAGTTTCTTCTTAATAATTCAAGTTATACACAGTATAGAGCACCAGCCCTGGAGTCAGGAGGACCTGAGTTCAAATCTGGCCTCAGACACATAACACACTAGCTGCGTAACTCTGGGCAAGTCCCTTAACCCCAATTACCTCATATTTAAAAAAAGAAAGAAAGAAAAAAAAATTCCATGCAATGGAAGCATAATACACCAAATTCTGAGTGTTAATGCTCTATAAAATAAGTCACAAGGTCAAAATCATAAGCAGATGACCAAATTATAACAGAAAACCAAAGTAAATTTCACATAACGTAGGGTAGTAATTTATCATTAGCAATAATCTAATATTTTCTCTTTACCTGAACTTGCTGTGGCTGCTGGACCTGGATCTGTTGTTCTTGCTGGGTCTGCTGCTGCACACTGGTGGTTACAGGACAGGCAAGTTCAAGTAAAGATCCAGCCACTTCGGTGCTATCTGTGTAAATGCAGTTTCCACCCTGTTGGTACACCATAGTAGTAGTAGCCGTCTGCTGGAACTCCTGAAGTGCTTCAGGTCCCTTGGATGCTAAGGAGTCCAGGAACTCCTTCATCCTGTGTTGTGGGATTGAACGTGCTTTTACTCGAATGTATTCTTCAAAGGAAATGGTGTTTTCCAAAGAATTATTCATATTGCAAAATCTTTAGGATCCCTAAAGATAAAGAATAAAAGAGAAGGCAGGGTTCATTTCTTTTTCTTTCTATCTTTTTTTTTTTTAAAAGATCTTGATAAGAGTAGAACCATTAGCAATCTTCATAATGGAAAAGACTTTTTGTAAGGCAGCTGGATATACCCGGAACCTAGGGCAAAGATTTTTTTTCATACAAGTTTATATAGTAATACATTTTTCTTAAACCACATTACTTCTATGCTGAAACCAACGTGTATCTGCTTCTGTTTAGCTAGTTTCCCTCGCAATGCTGGGAAATAAATAAAAATTAATTTAAAATAGTTTAAAAATAAAGGGAAAATACTGTTGTTAATCAGTCTAAGTATGGCTTGAACTGAGCAGATCCAAGGTATACCAGAACTCATTTGTTACATGTAAAACTACAGTATAATCTTAACTTTGTTTTGATGGGGAATAGAAGGAAACAGGAAAAAGGAGACCAGAAGCCATAGTAAAAAGAAGCCTAGGGAAAAAAAAACCAAAAAAAAAAAAAATCTACACTTCATCTAGTCCCTAGTGAAAGTGACAAGCACATTCACTATACAAATGCATTAGTTAGATGAATATTGCAACTCACTTGATAAGAAAGAGTTAACCAATAAACTGGGGTCATATTTACCTCCAGTACCATCAAAAAAAAAGCTTTATAATGCCAAGTATTCTGTGGACCATTAAAATATAGCTGTGGTGCTAAAATTTTAATTTCATTGAATAGTTTGAAATAAGTGGGTTATGCGCTAGCTTGGGAGTTTCGGTTATTTTCAGTTGTACTGTTTTCAATAAAATTTTATCTACAAATCAGCTTGGTCAATTGTCAAACTCCTTTAAAATTATAATGATTAAGCTCTGCCCCCAAAACAAAGATAGGAGAAGAAACTTCTCCCTTCCCATGTTGCCCCTGCTCCTCCAGGTCTACAGTCTCTTACCCTCAACCTTCTTTGAAGAGGTAGGGGCCTAAAAGTGTGGAATACTGGCTGTAATAGCAGACTTGTTTGACATGTTAGCTAGTTTTGTTTAACTTTTTTCTTTCCCTTTTCTTATTCCTTATTAAAAAGGATGGTGCTGTGGGAATGGGTTGGGGGAGAGACAGTGGAGTATCAGTGATATAAAAATAATACATAAAAATTCTTAACTAAAACAATTATAATTTCCTCCAAACCCACCCCTTTTCCAAAATCAGTTGCCAAATCTTATTTTTGTTTCCCATCTGTCTCTTTCTCTCTACTCATATGCCCTTCACTCTAGTTCAGTCCTTCACTATTTTGTCTAGAAAAGACTGCTGCGATGACCTCTTAATTCTTCTTCTCCCTCCCTTCCTTTTCTTAATCCATCCTCCACACAGTTGCCAAAACAATTTTACTAAAAAACAATTCTATCACGTGACCTCCTTACTCAATAAACTCAAATGTCTTCCTTCATTCTAGGATCAATTATCCTTTCATCCTTTATTAATTTCTATTTTGAGGTAAGCATTATAATACACATAATTAGCTCAGTAACATATGGTATTGGTAGCATATGTTCAAAATTTTTTTACTGACTGTGTGATCAAAAAATTATGGACACCACTAATCTAGACCCTTTATTTCTACTACTCCATCCTCTTGCTTTTGTACATCTAGTTACTAATTGGTGAATCAAACTAGAGAAGACAAGGTAGGGGTCAAGAGAGGGCAATAACCTAAATTGAAAATTTTCTGCCAAAAATGATTTTCATTTGATCTTGAGTATGACAAGTGGGGAAAAAAATCTAACCACTTGCTCTTACTACAGCTCTAACTAATTACCAACAGAATTATCTGAAGAAATAAGACATTTACGGTTAGCATTAACCTTGTACCTTGTAGCATCAACCCCGCACAATGCAGGGCCTGCACAAACATGTTTAATTTAAACAGCAATAACTCCACTGGCATGTACAAGCTAGCAAGAAATGTGCATAGAATTGGTTTTCTAAAATACTAATAAGGTTACCAAATGCAAACCTCTGTTCAAGAGCTCTCCAATATAGCAGCCTAAGCAATACAGCTTCAATAAAACATGACTCTATTTCTATGAGACAGAGAATTAAGTCCTTATCTTACCCCAAGTACAGATTTCCCAGACCACAAACTAGAGATAAAAATCCCACGAAGTTAATGAATACATGCTGGCTGTTATTAGCTATTTGTGTGACTCTAAATGAGCCCTCTTGCTATCTCTGATACCTCTGCTTAAATCATAAGAACATAGGGTCATTGGATGAGAGCGAGAAGAGACTTCAGAGGTCATCCAACCCCTACAGAAGATGGAGAATTGGAAGGGATCTTTGTCCAACCACCTCATTTTACACACGCTTACACATACTTACTTACACTTACAAACACAGACACAGACACAGACACACACACACACACACACACACACACACACACACACTCTCCCTTCCAGTTCTGATATTCTATAAAGTTCTAGGAATAGGAAGTGACAAAAATGGCAGTATACTACGTATTAGAAATAACTGCTAAGAGCTCTACTATAGATTCATAGATGATTAAAGCCAGAAAAGCCCTTAAAAATCATCTAAGATGACAGCTGGATAACTTTTGGAAACAAAGTCAATATCCACTGACTGGGCAATGGTTAAACAAGCTGTAGTATAGAAATGTATTAGAATATTACTGTGATGTAAAAAACAAAGAATAAAGAAGGGAAGACTTCTATGAACTAAAGGTAAATGAAATGAATAGAAACAAGAAAATAATCACAATGAGAACAACATAAATGGAAAGAAAAAACAAGACAAAACTGTGAAACTATAAAGACTAAGGCTGGCTCTAGTCAGTCAGTCAGTCAATAAACATCTACTGAACACTTACTATGACCTAGGCACTGTGCTAATTGATGAGGATACAAAGAAAGGCAAAAGGCAGTTCTTGCCCACAGTCTAACACAGAGTAGTGATAGTAAAAATGTAATGACTCCTATTATCAGGTGCTTTCACAGCTAAATTTTCTCAAATTGCTTAACACCACCTCAACCATTCTACAATCCATAATTTCCATTAACTGCCAAGTTGACAGTAAGAGATCTAGCTGGTCTTGAACTTAAAGGCTGAAGTTTATCTGTTTAGGTTATGCAGACTTCACAGTAAGATTAGTGCAACAATCCAGTACAAGTCTTCTCTATTACATATCTAACATGCTCAACTTGGTACTGTGCAGTATGTGACCAACATGTACATTCACTGCACAAATGAACATGTTACTATGTTCTCACAGAAGTCTTACACGAAAAACTTTGCCCCTTTGCCTTTTCAACAGCTTCTATTACAGTTTTCCTTTCCTTAAAACTTGATTTATTAAGCATGTTAAGTCCATTACATAATCTAAAACCCAACATTATCTTCACACCTGGCCCAAGTTACCCCCTCTTCTGGGAGGTTTACTCTAAGAGAAGAGTATAGAGTTAAAATCATCTGAGTCCTGGTACTCGGCCACTTTAGAATCATCATTTATCTCTAACATTTTTACTTTCACTTATGAGAAAATAATAGGTAACTGATGTCTAGAATTCATGAAGTCTCCCTTCTAAGGCAATTATTCTATAAATAGCTCAAAGATTGTACCAAAGTTTTTTAGTGACTACTGTTTCCAAAAAGGAACTCAAGAGGAAGTTAAATGGTAAAACTTTTTCTGGGTCTTCTCAAAAACATGAAGGAATGAAAATATAGAAAGGGGTAAATGAGCAAATACGATTATAAGAATTTCAAAATAATGAAGTTTGAGGACTTGGAAATCACTTCCTTGGCAGAAAAATCTTCCTACACCCACATGTACAAAAATATTTATAGCAGCTCTTTTTGAGGTGGCAAAGAATTGGAAAGGGGATTCCTCAATTGGGAAATGACTTCACACGTTGTGGTATAGGAATGTAATGGAATACTACTGTTCCAAGAAATGATGAGGAGGACTTCAGAAAAAGCTGCAAAGACTTGTATGAACTGATGCTGAGCAAAGTGAGCAAAACCAGAACACTGTACACAGTAACAGCCACACTGTGCAATGACCAACGTTGATCGACTTAGCTCTTCTCAGCAATTCAATGAACTAACAAAATTTCAAAAGACTCATGATGGAAAATGCTATCCGCATCCAGAGAAAGAACTTTGGAGTCTGAACACAGATCGAAGCATACTATTTTCTTTTTCTTTTTTTGTTTTTTCTTTTTCATGGTTTTTCCCTTTGGTTCTAATTCTTCTTTACAACATGACAAAGGTGGAAATATGTCTAATATGACTGTACATGTATAATCTATATCAGATTGCATGCCATCTTGGGAGGGGAGAGGGGAAGAAAATTTAAAACTCACAATCTTACAAAAGTGAATGTTGAAAACTAAAACTGACTAAATAAATATTTAAAAATTAAAAAAAAATCTTCCTACAATTCCTAAGTATATTTGTGCTTATGCACCAATCCTTAGAATACTCATGGTCATCTCATTTACATTCACTTAATCAAGTGTCCCTTCAAATAAATACAGTGGAAACATGTCTGATTTGTGAGTTAAAAACAAGGAGGAAGCAATGTAGTAGCTTTTACATCCCCAATCTTTTAAAAACAAGCTTTTCACTTTAGTTCAAAACCTTACTTCACCTAATTCTGTTTATTCTGAGGGGATGGCCATTTATATAATTTCATTTGCATTACCCAACCATTTAGTCCTAACAATTAGTGTGAATGTGAGACAGGCAGAAAATGTATTATTTTCTTAAATGGCCACAAACCTCATCCTGCCATCTCTCCCCTCTTTGAATTTATAGGCCATCCTTCCATGCCAGAAATACCCTCACCTACTGTTCTTTCTTCAAGGCTCAGTTCAAGTGCTTCTTCCTCTCCAGATGAAAATTTGTTCTCTCCAAATCTGCCTAGATAGACCACTTTGTCTAGACCAGGAGGTTCCCAAATTTATTTGGCCTACTAACCTCATTTTTAAAGAAA